TAGGGCCAGGGGATAGTCTTTTAAACAAACCTTTTGTTCCCAGAGTGCCTAATACAGTTGCAGGCTTTTCAGCTTTTCTCAACCTTAGCAATTTAAAAAAACTTTATAGTCATTGAGGCTGAGGAACACTACTCTTTTAAAGATATTAAAAACCACTCCTGTTCAGCATTTAAAATAAACTTTTTTTAAAAAAGAAAATTCAGTAAGGCAGAGAACAGGTAAGAACCAAGGAGAAATTCATACAAGAATAAAATAAATGTCTGGCCTGTTTTAAACGTTCAGAAGTGTCCTAGAAAGCCCATTTGTTGTGGTGATTAAGGCACTAGGGTAGAAACCAGGAAGTCATGAGTTCTAGTCTCAACGTAGGTAAAAATCCTGATGAGTGACCTTGGGACAGTCACATATTCTCAGCCCCAGGAATAGGCATTGGCAAAACACTGCTGAAAATCTTGCCAAGAAACTATCTAGGCAGTCATCGGGAGTCAACATTGACTTGAAGGCATATATCTGGGGTTCCCAAACTTGGCAACTTTAAGACTTGTGGACTTCAACTCCCAGAATTCTCCAGCCAGCTGGGAGTTGAAGTCCACAAGTCTTAAAGCTGTGAAGCTTGGAGACCTCTGGCATATACTGTCAGGACCAATGAGGCATTTGCTACTCTTAATGAATACCAAATTGGCATTCCTACTCTCAAGTAGGAAAGCTAATCCAATTGACACTGACCCTTACTTCTACCTTGACAACAGGGCACCTGAGGACAGCCAAGAAAGTAAAATGAATGAGGTATACCCAGTTGTGTCCTTCAACATTATCTGTCTGATGCTGCCTCTTAGGAATATCTACGATGATAAGATGAGTGTCAAGCATTGCTGCGATTGCAGGAGAAGAATGTAATGCTATTAAGTATCAGTAGAATTGTGTTTCCATCAGAATGGAAAATGTGGAGAAAGTTGGATCAGAGTTTTCTAAGGTGAGTAGAGTAAATAGCACTACTTTTTTTAAAAAAAACACCTTTATATAAGTTCCCATCAGCTGATAACCTCCAAATGGGTTGGATCCGTTCCCCTAATTCCAAACTCCTCTATGATTGATGGGGGATTCCACAAGTTGAAATCCAATTCCTTTTGAAGACACTAGTTTGGAGAAGCCTGTTTTATACAGTAGTTGTGCTACTGTAACTGTACAACTGGGTTTCTATTTATAATAATCGTGTTTAAAGATATACTTACTTAGGGTCACTTAAGCTCAGAATGTTCCATTACTTCAAACTGCATGTCCACTAACCACAAACTGGCTTCACACAGCATATGAACTGAAATATGGTTCAGAGTAGGTGAAGGGATGTAGACCTCTGACTGAAGGAGAAGTGAACAAATCATTACGGAGGGACTTTAAAAAGATATTAGTTCTGAGTAAGAGGAAAGTGTAAGAAAGAATAATCAAAACAACTTCGCCTTAATTTTGTTTGCTATAAGAGGAAGCAGAGAGAAATTTGGATTCACAATTCTATTTAATGTACTCTATAGTAAAAAAGAGAATTGTTAGGGTCCCTGCTGTGCCTTTTTTTTTTAACCTTGCCAATCTTGCAAAGATGAAAATACACATGTAAAAAATGCTAGTGATGATTTGCTTTGCTGTTAAGGAGTAACTATTAGTGTGATAGTTGCTCTGACTACAGAGGAAACAGAAATTGCAAAAGAAATCTGAATTGTCTTTCCTATTTTTATGCAGTTGGTATAATGTCTATAATTAACCTCCATGAAATAGATATAATTTCTTTCCATCTTAACTGTACAAAACATTTTTTGCCAGCCTGGTAAGATGATAGAACAAACATAAGTGAATTTACTCAGTCACAAAGGTATTCTTTTCTGAGGACTGACTTACTAGTAAATGAGTGAAGTTACACTTTATGTACATGTTCATTTACTTACTTGAATTCAGATTAATTTTGTACTTTCAAAGTTAGTCTTGCTCAGGGTATAGTCCTTATTCAGACTAAACACTAAATCAAAGTTATCTTTCTTATACAACACAACACACATACACCCTGGATAATGACACTCTAATTTGGTTTTGATTTTGCCATGATAGCTTATTATACATGACTACACATGTATAATAAACTGTACACTGTTACCAGTACACACTGGTAACAATCACATTTAATATCTCCTGAAAAAGTAAACACATGCTGGCTTGCCATGTTGTATAAGTTTACCTCTTTGCATTAAGCATAATGGGGTTTGATTTTGGTATAGCATGTTGTGTGATTTGTTTTGATTCAGTGTTGTGCAAACGTTGGTTATGGAAAGGTTTGGAAAGACCACAGTAGTCAGAACGATGCTGCAAAGTGAGTGGGATTTTATTCCATTTCTGGAGAGGTTATGTTTTGCTTGTTTTGCTAGATTTTTGAAGATACTTTGTCTGAGCGCCTCTAAATTCTACAAGTCAGAAGTAACTATAGATTTGTCTGGGAACCGGATCAAATTCTTTCAAGCTCAGTGCTGGTTTATTGAAAACCACAACAAAGTTGGCTTTCTCCCTTACAAAGCTACACCATTGCAGAGTCTGTAGATATTTTCTCACTGATAGGAACTCTGGCCTCATACCACTTCCTGGCTCTTTAGCTCAGAGCAACCCTTACCTATTGGCTTTGCTTGCCCTATATTCAGAATAAGGGATTTTGGAGGTCTTCTAGTCCAACCCCTTGCTCAGGCAGAAAATCCTATATTCCAGGCAGATGATTGTCTAATCACTTAGTGTTGGAACACTCACAACTTCTGAAGGCAAGCTGCTCTACTGATTAATTGTTCAAACTGTTAGGAAATTAGTTCTAGGTTGCTTCTCTCCTTGATTAGTTTCCATCCTTTACTTTTTGTCTTGCCTTCAGGTGTCACTTGGTTCCTGATGGCTATTAATAGCTCTGTCTCCAAACCCCGCCATTCTGTGCAACCATGTTTCTAGTAATGGGAAAACCATCTGGTTGCAATGGTACCAACATGTATTTGTTTCACCCTAACTGTTCACTATGGTGTGTTTGTATGCAGAAAAAGGGAGGCTTTGCAACTGAGGCATTTTCCTACGGCAACTGTCCGTATTTAATATTATTGTTTTAAATTTTGCAAATGAAGGTGCTGGTAATTTATTTTATTAGTTTTGTGTGTAATGAAGCTGTGAGGATTTTCGTTGTAGCAGAACCAGGGATAAGTACTGATTGAATTATATGCTTGGCCTTGGATTCTTCCTCAGCCAGAAAGGGGAATGTTTGGCTCATGGTAGTCTAGATGTATTTTCAGTGTTCTGAGACTGTAAAAACAACCAATTTGGGATAAGGAAATGACTTTTAATTGTGCTATGCTATGGCATTTTGTATTATTTGCAGTTTTAATATCAATAGTATAAGAACATAGGTAATTTAGTTTCAAGTGAATGTATTTCTTATATTTGAATAAACATATAAAAACTAAGGTAGATTGAAGGAAGTTGGGTGCATCGTGTCTGTTTACCTGAAAAGACCATCCAGGAAAGTCCAGACTAAATCATGCTTTCATTTATTCACTTCATATAAAAATCTCTTCAGAATGCATCTCAACACAATATATAATACTATAACAACATATATTGTGTGAAACTTTCAAACAATAAAATAACCACCTGGAACAATGCAGTGTTCAACAGACATATAAACCCATGTATCATGCACAGCTGTGCTATTTTCATCAACTAATTAGTCACAAGTTGGACTGAAAGCCTGAAACATAGCTTTACAAAATCGGCACCGTGTACATGCCTCACAAGCTTTGTGACAAGTATAGTATCAAGTATAGCACAAGTATAGTATCGGTTCACATTTTGTCATAGAAACTCACATTGGCTGCTTTAAAAATTGGAAAATGACAGAAGGTTTTGTGGCATTGACTGGGCGTGTCCTTTTCAACATTCCAATCGTTTCATTTCTGCTGAAATTCCTAAATCCTCACCAGTTACCTAACCCCGATTCCCAGACTCTAAATGAAAATGAAGTCCAATGGGAGCCAATGCCTGAATGCCCTGTCTGGGTTCCATATGTCTCTTTCACTGTGCTCAGGTTCTTTCCATTTTTACGCAGTACAAAAAAATTACAAGAAAGGCAACTCTCATTCAGAGTCTTCTACACAAATAACATCACCACTGACTGGCAATGTTAATTTATATAAATTAATACTTACAAAACATTACATTATATACAATACATAATAAATACACTGTTATAAACAGTACTGAACATATAATAGGTCAAGGCAAGTTGAGGAGAAGAAAAGGAGACTCAGCCTAGCGAACATGAAGAATGGAGGGTGGGGGGAAGCACAGTAGGACCAAACACAAAAATTCCACTGAGTTGTTTTTTTTTTTTTGTTGAAGGGGAGATTGTCCACCATATTACAACATGTTGGTTTTTATCTGTTCTGCGTTGTCTAATGAATACAAAGCTACTTTATCCTGTGTAGAACAAAAGTCGAAAACAGTTGAATGGAAAACCATTTGTTCATGTGTGGCAAGTCACACAGGAGAAACGTAGATTTTTGTGGGGCTAATAAAGTGACCAGTGATGCAGTTATGCAAGGAGGGAGGGCACCCTGTTTTATTTAGTGAGTCAAAACAATTAAACTGCGGTAAAACACAAGTATTGCCCGTAGAGAGGAAGACTTTCTTCATTAAACAGGATTAATAATCATATAAAATATATATTGGTATCAAACAAGTTTTGTTGTGTATTTAGTAGGTGTCTCGAAAAGATGTGGAAGTGTTTATAAAAAAGGCACACAGGTCTGAGACAGGTGCACAAATTTGAAATGCAAAATTACGAAAGAGTATTTTGAGCTGTTGGACCGAACCAGATGTCAGAATCTATTAAGAATAGAAAATATGATGATTATGTGTCATTCCCTAGCGGGCTTGTTCAGTAACAGCTCACATTGCCTCCCTATCACCAGGTTTATTTTGTTTTTGGCTGATACAACTTAAGCTGCAGTAGATATCACCTGTTAATTCCTGAGCAGTCATTACACACTCTGTAACCCTGGCTCCAATCTCGAGTAATTGGAAAGTCTTCTAGCCAATAACAGGTGCTGGCCTAACAGCTAGACTTTCAGGCTATAGCACACGAGACAATCTTCATGTGCATGAATAAAATCACCATGACGGATACAGTAATGTTAAGTATCAATCAGCGATGCATCTTTTGTCACAATCTCTATATTAGTGTCCTGCTGGGAATCCCTTTTTCCTGGGTCAATGACACAAAGTGTCTTGGTACTGCTGTAGTAATGGATACTGTCACTCTCTTTCTCAGGCCCGTCGGAGTCTTCCTCTTCAAGAGTAAGGTCAAACTGGAATTTCTCCATCAGGCCCTGACAGTCTTGGCTGCGTTCTTCGAGGGGAGGGGAAGGACTCTGAGGGATCATACTTTGATACCAATTACGGTTGTCTTCCAGGGTATCCAAAATATCTTGAGCATCGGGCTGTACTAGGTCTGCCCAGGTCTCCCAAAGTGGATGAACAATATAATCAATGAATCCCACCTGCAATGCAAGTACAATCAATTTGTAATGAACTGTTATTTATACTCAATACTTATGAATTTTCTCTCAGCCTTACATTTTAAGCAACTAGAAACTATATTAGTATTTATTTATTATCTAACAAACCACTCAATTTTTTAAAAGAATAAAACAAAGTGAATACTAAAAACCATGAAAAACTAGATAGGGTCATATAATCTCTGCTGTTATGATATATGTAAAGAGGCACTGATCTAACCTGTCTAGAGGGGAATTGTCAAAACCAGAATGCTGATATTAAAGAAGAATATTGCTTTCTGTGCATTTGGGAAAATTTATTGGGCGTGAATCATTATGGCCAGATTTATTTATTGTATTTTGTTTATTACTCAAATTTACATAGCTACTCATCCTACCAAAGGCAACTCTAGATGGCTCACAACCAATGGGTAAAATCACATTAAAAGCAAATATTATAAAAAAAGTAATACAACCCTACGTGAAGAAAGGATAAGAATAGCCAGCTTAACAATGGAGCTATCTAAGCACGGTCTTGGTTTCCCTGGGAGTCTCAGGCCTGACAACATAACTAAGTCTTGAGGGTGTTTGGAATATCAAAAGCAATGAAGCTAATCTAATTCCAGGGAGGAAATTATATTCCACGAGGCTGGCACCAAGGAAAGGAAGGCGCATTTCCTGGGGCCCACAAAGTGAAGATCTGCAGCTGATGATATCTGCAGGACACTTTTCAGAAAAGATCTAATGGAGTGGGCTGGAGTGGTCCCTTGGACAGCCTGGCTCCAGGCCATGAATGGCTTTAAAGGTCAAAACCAGCACCTTGAATTGGACTTGGAAGCAAACTGGCAATCTATGCACTTGCAGAGCATGGATATAACACGCGCTGTTCTAGGAGTGCAGATAACTGTACCAGCTGAGGCTTCCGGGTTCTCTTCAAGGGCAATTATAGAGCACACTGAAATGGTCCAATCTGAAATGACTGAGGCATGGGTGGCTCAGATTTGTTTTCTTCAGGAAGCAATGCAGATAGGAAGCAGTGCATTAGCAAAGCTAAACAAAAGCATTCCTGACTGACTCCTGTTGCCACGATTCTTTCCAGATCTGTACCGAGAGCACCTGTATTTCCAAGAGTCCCCCTACAAATGCAGCTCTGCGTTGGCAGTCTTCAATCCTAAAATGATAGTCTAACATTACAATCAAATGTCCAGTGGAACTAGCACTGATTTTTGCACCCATTATCTAAATCTCAGCATAAGCGAAAAAGATCAAGGCTCTTTCTATCCTAGAATCAGATTAGACAAAGGCCAAATAACTTGCTTCGCCCTAAAAAGCACTCCTAACAACATTCATAAATTAAAAGCTGCCACTACTGTAGCAGCAAATATCTGCTCAGTAAGTTAGTTTTATTTTTTTTAATCATGTCACGCTACTATATAATTTATAGCAGCAATTATATAAGAAACATCTGTATAGCAGTATTTGCATATGAAGAAACTACAAGGTGCTGTCAGTGGGAGCTATTTTTAATTATTAAGGTATTCAGAAGTAATGGAAATCATGGCATCTGTTGCCTGCTTGAACTGAAATGAATTTTGGATGCCTTCCTCCTCCTCCGAGGAAGAACATAGAGGGGTTCTTAAGTTTCTGTTCCAAAATTAAAACTGGTTAGTAACTAATTTTTTAAGATATCAGGACTCGGGGAAATAACTGTTAACAAGCCTGTCACATTTAAGAATATATTATGAAAGGACCTATTAACATTTAAATTACTCGGTATGATGTATAAATCAAAAACATCTAACTATACAAGAAATGCTTATTGGACATGCTTACTATAACAATGCACCTCAATGAAAATTGCCATCTCACTAAGCTGTTGGTATCTATATATTTTTTTAAAAGGAGAAATATGACTCCTCCAAGTATCACTTAAACAAACAGTGTAGATAAAAATGCTGGTACACTGATGAAAATCTTTACTTCACTGAAACTTTGGAATTGGTATGATTTTTAGGGTTAGTGTCAAAAAGCTGACTTTTTCTTGGATCTGTTTAGAACTTTCATGTTATTTTGGTATTTTGTGGAATTTATGGTTACCATACTTGAATATAATATCATGTAATGGAGAAATGTATGCCTTAAGGGGAAATAATGACTGTTCCTGGTAATAGCCATTACGTAACAAAGCTTAGGATAACATTAATTCTTAGTTGACAAGCAGGATGAACTGGCTGGAGGAAAGTGAATGAACAATAAAAGCTATGGAAAAGTTTCTTGTCTGACTGGATTTCCTTGCTTAACTCCAAAAACGTCTGGGTGGCAATTCAGCAGAACAGGAAAATAGTTTTCAAAGGAACCCATTTCTGGCTAGGATGTTTGGTTTGGAAATCACATTTGACTCCTTCAGACACAACAGGATGTTGAACAAGCCAGTACAATTCTATTGTAACTGCTAAGGTACCTTAAGCCAAAAAGTGACAAAAAGTTTCTGTAACCTATACTCAGTGGAGACATTGTAGTGAAATCACCTTGTTTGCTTGTCAGAACACGGAGAACTTTTGCTCTTTACATCGATTTAAGGAAGAACTAACTTGAGTGTTAATTTTAATTTAATTTAAGTATTAGTTCAGGTTCAAAAAACCAAACAAACCCTCCCCCCCCCAAAAAAAATCCCAAAGTGAATTACAGAAGATATTGGTTAATAACTTCTTTCTGTATGATAGTGCTACTATATTTCATCTTTAAAAATATTAAGAGAATTCACTATAGCTAGTCCCTTCATATTATCCTCTGTTAAATTACATAAGGCAACACATGATCCCTCAGGCCATTGTTTCAGAGATATTTATCAGATTCCTCAATGCCTTTAACAATGGCAGAGCTTCTAATCTACTGGAAAAAAATTCTTTAAAATTCAAGAGATCTTCAGAGATGGATCTGTCTTGAAAACAGCCAATGCTGAACTGTATAGCAGTCAAATCTCAGGAGTTGGCCACAGGGAATGTTTTACAACATTTTATATTATGTCATAAAATACTTTATGATATTTTTTTTGTCATAAAATATTTCATAAAGTTTGCCAAATTTCAATTCCACATGAGTTTTGGATTTGGGATGCATTTTATAAGTTAGTCCATTTGAGATAGCTTGGTTCAAACAGTTTTGCTGTATCATGAATATTTTGCCTAGCGAAAGATGACAGACATGAGAGTTTCAGTAGTTTATAGACAGAAGGAAAATTAGAAGCTGACGAAAAGTCTCTCAGTGGCTCAAGTAAAGGAAGCCTCTAAAGTCTAACCCTGATGCCCTAACCACAGCATCAAATGGCTCTGAAATGCTTACAGTTGACACTGACTGCTTCCTTGCAAAATGAAAAAAGTGAGAATAGAAAACCATGTCCTATCAGCTAATGGAAGAAAAGTGCTGCATCCTGTTTCTTTGCAAAACGTAAGTGGTTCGAGTAAGAGTTACTTTTTCCATTCTTGAAATCTCTGCTGCTTGCTGACTGTATTACCAGAAAAGAAACAATGGGGCCAAGCCAGAAACTGGCATAAGTTTGGCTAACCTTGGCCATTGCTAAGAACACATACTGGTCCAGTTTATGTGAAACAACGCCATCACTGAAATGCTCTGCAGGTAGTCTTTTCAGAGTTTTGCAGAAGCATAATGTAGGATTTATGGCAAACAGATTGCCTTCTATTGACAAAATCTCCTTGTGCTGATGTTAGAAGGTGTTGGCATTATCCTCTCCCATTCAGTGGAATTTGGAAAAGGGATTATGTATAATGCTGCAGGTATGTTTTGACAAAAGTGCAAAAGGCATTTGAAAAGGTGAGATTTATCTATCTGGTATGCTAAAGAGAGGAATCTCTGGGGAATTACCATGGCATTTTTAAAGGATACCTTTCCCCAAGACTTACTGGCAACAGATCAACATTATTAATTCTAAATTGGAATATTCCTCATAGATGAAAAAGAGAAAATTCAAATACCTGAGACTTCTCCACAGAAGCTGTGTGCTTGTCACACATTGGGCTGATTTCCATTCCCCTCTCCCGTTCTTTGTCCCCTTGCTGGAAAAACTCCTCCATAATTCTATCTGTCCACTGCCGATAGAGTTCAAGAGATTTGGTAGGATTACTTAAATCAGCACAATGGACCATATTTCGGAGAACCTGCAATGCAAAAATGATAACATGAAGACTCATATAATCATGTAAAAAACAGGGCAACATTTTGTTCTGTACTTCTTGGTACTTTGAAAGCAGTTTCACATTAATGCACTTTTTGATTAAAGAGATTTGTTTTAGAAAATTTTATGAAATATATCTAAAGTACATTTTCATCAAGAGATACATTAAATTAGGAAGATTAACTGTAGATATGCAGAATAAATTGTTACGAATTGTATTGGTCACCTGAATTATCCAAGCATAACTTCAAGCCAATTTAAGGTGTCTACCATTTTCTTTAATAGAAAACTGCTTTGAATAGTTTTATTGTTCTCATGTCTTATTGTACAAGTCGACATAGGAGATTAATGAACTGGAGATAAACAGAAGATTTAAAGGTCTCTGTTTCAATTGTTGGCACTGGCACTTCCTATTGAAAGTCAGAGTAATCTAGCGACAAATGATTAGGATTATGACTAGGCAGTTTAGGGTTACTTTCATCTCATCTCAGTGCTTATGGGCTAGTCAGTATTTCTCAGTTTTAGGTGAAGATAAAATAGAACCAGAAAACTATAATAAGGAATATAACAAATATATAATAAAATTAACCCAAATAAAAAATATAATGAAAAATAAGTACACGTAGCCATTACTTTTATGAAGAATGTATGGTCCAGATTCAAGGAGGTTAGGCATATCTAAAATGGTATCTGATTGTCCACTGAAGTCTATACAAAGTATTTACCTAGATATGTTTATTTTGTCCTGGCAAATCTCTTTTAAACTGGAGGATTACCTGAAGTAATTCCTAGAACTTGTGTTCTGCTTACTGCACTGTGAAGACACTTCTACCAATAGCCTTTTGTTGAGGACATAAAGACATTCTTCTTCACTCCAGATCTACTCTGAAAGAAAGCTTCCACCTTTCTTCCTTTGCTTTAAAAGTGACTTAAAAAAAAAGTTCCTGCCAGCAGAAACTATGTTAAAGGTTAAGTCAGTTGTAAACTCTGAGGGAACTTTAGGGTGAGAGCCTGCTTTGCTCCTATTAACCACATGAAGGTTATGGCAGGCTACTGATTTTCAGAACCGTTTGCTTTTTGGCATGGGAAAAGCAGAGCTAAAAAGACATTCCATCTTTGCAGCCAGCTGGTGGCAACAAACTTATGCGTAAGGAAACCGCACCTCCAAATACAACTGCCCACTTCTTCAAAGCATCATGCTTCCCTTGCCATCACTTCTCCAATTCCACCAAAGAATTATGCCATAGGATTGGAGAACTGATACAGAAGATCCATTTGCTCCCTCTTGGTTACAAAAAATAGTGGGAATACTAGGATTGGGGTAAAAGGTCTGTTTTCTCCCTGGCTCCTCTTGTCATCAATGGCAGAAGTGAGGGGAGAGAAGCAATAAAAAATAGCTTTTTTAGTGCAGAACTCTGACCCCACAGTGTTTAGCTACTAGCTCCGAAGAAAGTATTTTTCTCAATCTCTATGTCTTCCCTCTACTTCTGGGGTTTTGAGTGTGGACAGAATCTCTGTTCTGGTTCAGGGTTGAGGCTTAGTATGGGTTGACATTGTACTTATTTCTTCTTTAAGCTGGTACTTTTTTCTGCACAACAGCATTATAAGAGCCAAATTACTGTGGAAGAACCAAATTACTGTCACATTAACTAAGCATCAAAAGGACCCCAAAGACATCTTGCCACACTAATGAAAAGATATAATTTAAAGATATTTGGGTCGGATTGTCATTCCAGGCTGGTACAAAATTCTTCAGTTTAATTTTTCACTATAGGATATTTTTATGAACAAAAGAGTAACCATTATCACACTAAGGGGATTTGCTTTTAATGATTAACTATTGCCATGTTAAAAATGGGAAATCTGTACCAGTCAGGTTTCCATTAAACAGGAGAGCAACAAGTATCTTCTGCACTAAATATTGTCACCAAGTTAATTTCTCCTGTTCTGGAAATTGTACTCTGTGGCATGAATATATGAAGCACAAAGGATTAGAATCTGCATAACCATAAAATAAAAAGGGATTCATAGAGAGAAGAAATCTGTTCAAACATTTGCACTGCTTTGTGTCCTATTTGATGATTTTAAACATCCTTTTAAATATTTTCCTGAAGTGACATCTTAATATGCATCTTATTCTAAAAATATAGAGAGATTCAATTCAGGAAAATAATGAGATAAATGTTCCTGGCCTATTGCCATTAAATAGGCAACCTTTATAGCTTTATAGGCAAATAGGCAAATATTTAACTGAATTCCCTATTTTTAAGTAAATTATCCTTGTTAACATTTCCCCATGCTGAGACCAATACTTAATCCATAGCATGTAAGGAACATGTTGTGTGAATTGCACAACATTTACCACACTATTAATCCAAGGGAATTCTAAATTGTAGATTGTATTCCTTATGCTGTAAGATCTTGTTTTCTTCCCAATAGTTTGGAGGAAAGAATTCAAGCCACCACAGGCTATTAAATTCTTACATTGAGGAGTAATTTGTGTGATGATATTATTTACAATACACAAAAGTGCTTATTGGTTCACCCCCTAACAACAGTAGCAACATAGGCAGACATTTATACTGAGAGAGCCTCAGTACTATCCAGATGACTCCTTTTAAAATTCCCAATTTTTCCCCATTCCTCTTTCCTTTATTCAAATACTGCCTTATTCACTGCTATGTTAAAAGTGGCCTTCCTTAAAAGAAATATACATGTGCTACAGAAAGACTAGTTCCCTGCACCAGAGTAAGAATGTACACATGGGAAGTTCATAGATTGATTGAGAAGGAGGGAGGGAGAGGGAGGGAGAAAGAAGGTATGACAGCAAGAAAGCTTCCCAAACAGACCTGTATTCTATCAGTGTAGTTATCTAGCAGGAGGACTCCAGAACTTGTAACTTTTTTAGTTTCTACCATCGTCTTTAAATCTGCCAGAAGTGACATGTGCTTGGACATATCTGTTGCCAAGACCTACATGAAAGGAGAAAGATTGTTTTATTTTTTGTTTTTGGGAGCAAAGCATCATTTTCTGTTTTAACAGCTAGAATGTTATACAGAATCACATTCTTACCATGTCTATCACCATTTTCCTGAGACTTTGACGTTGTTTCTTGGTCAGATTGTGGAAGATGTCACAATGCTCTTCTTGTAGAAGTTTAAAACCAACAGCAAGATGGTGGTTTTCCAAGACGGACTCATCATTGTACATTAAAGCAAGTTCAGAATCTAAATAAGAGAGTAGTGATGTATTTAAAAGGACTCCACTAAGTTCCATATATGAATTTATATCTAATCAATGGCTTTTATAGCTAAGGTATCCTTCATTATGCTTGAAATAATTTATTTTAAAAGAGAATGTAAATAAAATAAATGAAATAATTAAAAATTCTTTAAAATTATTAAAGAATTTTAAAAATAATTCAATGGTAGCTGAAATAAAAGGCTTCAGACCTAGAATTTATTAATTAAAAGTAATTTACCACAAAAGATAATTACAGTATCGCCTGTTTTATAAGATTTGACTACTTACATTATATACTAATGTAATTATGTAAAATATCCTTGCAAATAATGGTATTTTCATTTATTCCAGCTAACAGGACACATCTTTTAAATTTTATTTAAAATAAAATTTAAAACATTTGAAAGGTCAGATGAAAGATCTATATAAAATCTGGATTCAAACTGCATCCAGCATAAAGGAATTTCAAAATCAGTCTTCCCTTATTGCTAGTTTTCCAGCAACAAGTATTCAAAAGCTTTTGGTATGAATTGTAAAATTTGGTTTATTAATCCATTAGGATACTCTCAACTCACTTCAGATAAACTCCCATGATGTAAGTCTAGTATAATTTTAATGATTACATACTTGGTTAGTTTTGCTTGTTTCTGTGTACTATTATTAAGTAGGATGGAAATGTGGAAACTTTGTAATGTGCAGATGTGGCCTCTATTGATAAGTCAACTCTGATATTCTCAACTTCACTTCTTAATGAGTATTTTAGATTTTCTTTATTCTTAATAAGAGAGCATGAGACCCATTGAATGCAAATGTGCATGCACATTAAATGAGCACATAACTCACTTGTATTAATAAGGAACTGATTGGAGACACCAGGGTGATCTACATCATGAATTGCTGCTGCAAAAATTGCTGCCAAAATTTCTAAATCAGTGAATACAGCCTAGAAACAGAAAAGATCAACACATCGACTTCAATGATAAACATAGCTCATCAAGTATCTGTTAACTTATTAACACCCTCCATAGAAGAAAATGTGCAATTAAAACTGTACATAAAGAACTGAAATCTTTTTTTAAAAAAAATATTAGCTACTGCCAATTCATTTGGCTATGTATCTGTGTTCTGATACTTATTTTTGTGGGGATGCAGTAATTCCAATACATCCTCAACAAAACAGTAAAAAAGTAAGTTTTGCAACTCATGTCCAAGCATTTTTTTTAAATATCAAAACATGCAGAATATTGCATAGGAAGCTATTAATACAATCTTATCTCAAAAGTATAAACCCACGTTCATATTCTTAGCAATAAACTTGAAATAAATAAATCCGAACTAAACAATACACCTGAATTAATGCAAATCTAGCTGTTATATTAATGAGATGACATAAAGACATATTAAGGAATATAAGATTCCATACTGAGAATAAGCAAAGGAACATTAAATAGGATACCACAGAAGATTTGCAAAATGGATGTCTACTTCTCATCACATCTTTGTAATCTTCTAAAATATTATGGGATTTTGTATACTGTCTTGTTCATTTCAAGCAATCTATGGACTTATATCAAGATGACAGATTACACTGTGAAATTCTATAAGCTCACCTATTTTATTTATGTAACAGGTTAGAAATTGGTTAATTGATGCCTTGTATGAAGGAACTTGCAGAAACAGTTGTACTGTGCCAGAGGTATCAAAGCAAATGAATGGTGCATGAAATTTTACTTATTTTTACAGTCAGTTTATTAATTAAACCATAAGGCTATAACAAATTACCAAGTGCAAGTAAATTATTTTGGAAGTATTGTTTGTCAGGGGTGGAAGGAAACAACTTACATCCAAAGCTGGTGTGGACAGAAGAACATGAGTCGACTGGGCTACATCAGCTGCATGGAGACTATTATGGTAAGCTACATCTGTGTGGTAGTGGTCTTCCAAAGTCATCATGTAAGCTATAAAGGTATCTGATGAGATTTTGAATGTCTTCAGTAGATCTCTTTCCTGTACAGAGTAATAGAAATTGTCAGAGAAGGCTTAAAAACCTTTATTGCTGAGAAAAGATGATATTAGTGCTGTTTTTAAGATATAGCAATTGGAAGATGAAAATAATAATAATAATAATAATAATAATAATAATAATAATACAATTACTAACCTGGAAAATGGCATACATGATGCAAGTGAGAGGTCTACTGTGTGAGTATCTTGCAACATTAAATATATTCAATCCCCATTTATTCAGATCTTCTAGCTCCTAAAGAATAAAATAAAAAATAATGACTGCATAATGCCATCACAAGGAGAATGGGGCCATAGGTAGATTATAATTGCATTTATTTAGAGATATCAAATCACTTTTTTCTTAAATCCTAAGGATACAAATTCTAACTACAATTAGAATTACAGTTATCCCAAAATATGACATATGAAAGAGAAATAATTTATTATATTAGTTTCTGAAAGTGTGACATTTCCCATCTCCCCTTTTTTCTTATCCCTCCCATTGAAACTGTTTAATTGGGAGTTGATCTGTACCAGTTTCAGGGCTGGGATTGTTCAGAAATTAATTTGAAATCTTCCAGATAATTGTATCAATATATTTTTCCTCTTATCAATAGTTTCTAACACTTTAGGATTAGAACTTTCTTAAGAACATATTTGTCCTAAGCCACTTGCATTGTTATTTTCCAAAGCTGTATCTAAACCTTTGAATAAAAATTTTCCCGATCATAACACAGCAGAAAATTGCCAAGATCATTGGGGGAGGGATGGGGATAGATTAAACTGTTCCCTTTAGCTAAATTAATTTCAACAGTTTTATTTTCAGTAATTAGCAACATATTCTGTGGAGGAAGTTATTCTTACCATTTCTGTCTTGCAAAGCAATCTCCTCAAAACAGATGGAATAGTAAAAAGGATTTGTGGAGTATGACTAATATGTCTAGTTTACATATGTATTTGCATTCTTCCTTAAAAAATACAAATATTATGAATCACACTGACCTTAGCTAAATGATCTTCCTTTTCTGTTTTCACACCAAATCTTGAAATACTAGTGTTATTCAAGCTGGAACTGTGCATTAACTTTTTTACACCACTGATCTGTGTCATAACCTGTTGCTTCTTCTTTTTCTCTCTGTCCTTCTGTGTAGGAGAAGGAATCTCCACATCATTCTGCTTGTCTGTATTAAAAAAGGATAAAAATTAATGTCATACTTATTACGCATTAGGTTAGATCCAAATAGATTATTTTGTACCTGGCAAGCTTTTGAAAATGGGCGGATACTAATACAGAATTTCAGAATTGTTTTCAAAATTGTCAGACACAGAATGAAGAAAGCATTCATTCCTTTGTTATTTTAAAATTAGACTTATATCCTGCTTTTTATTCAGAAACTCATCAGAACACTGACCGAATCCTCCACTTATTTTGCCCAATAATATCAGGTAAGAGGCTGAGAAACCATGACTAGCCGAAAACAATCCATGATTATCTGCTCTAAGCTAGAGTAAAATTTATTGAGAAAACGATCTTTTGCCAAGCAAGCACTTCTCTACCCCTTTCCAGAATCCTGGAAAGCATTAATAGTTGCTAAATAACAATCTTCCTGAATGCTTCTCTACTTGTAAATATTGTTATTAACAATAAAATTAATACTGTAAGGCACACAGAGTCATGGAAGTGAAATAGGCAGCTATATAAATTTAACAAATATTTACCTGCACTATTACATTATAATTGATTCTGCATGTTACTGCCCAGGCTTATGGACACGTGGTTATGGTATGTACATCTGTAACATTCACATTGAAAAACCTTTCCTAGTTTTGTACTCTTCAGAGAGGACTTCAATTCCCAGCATTCCTTAGCCTCCATGGCCAGAGCTGAGAATTCTTGAAAGTCAGAGAGTTGAATTACTCTCAGCTGGAGAGCATGCAAATGAGGAAAGGTTATCAAAGAATTTGTTCCACCACATTTTGCCCTGTTAATTTTATAGCTTCCTAGATAACTTCCCATTTCCACAATCTCCTTCCCTGAAAAGAGATCCTTTCACTACCACGGAGATTGTTTCCTTAAAGATACTGAAATGTTGAGATTGGCTTTGAGAGACAGTTTACTCAAAGAGTTTTTACAAGGAAACAGATCCAATGTTAATTAACGTACCTAGGAAAGTATTCGAAATATATTCAGAGACTTGATTCCCTGATCGGCTCATTTCTGAAAGATGTGTCAGTTCCCGGTTTAACATTCTCTTGAACTGTTGATAATTAGAAGATAAAAATTCAGGTTAAGACAGTCTGCTTACTGGTATATTAAAATCCATGTTAACTAGAACATAAACCAGACAACTAAACAAGACAGTCAGAAATACATGACACACAAATAAAAAAAATACTTTCTAGTTGTCATGTCCATTGTTATCTAAGTTTAAGGTTTAAAATGTCATTTAAAAATGGTAATTACACTTTTACACAGCTCTGGAAAACTATATTTTACAGCAATTTTTTATTTCATACTTTTAGGTGTCCTTTAAAGACCTGTCATATGTCTGTCATTTTTCTACTTATAAAGGCAATTTCAACTTGCAGATATTTCTGACAGGAAGATTCTGTTAGTATCATGTTTATATAGTTTATATATATTGCTATTCAACATAAAACAATGCTGTCAGTTTGCATGCCACCCTATTAACATTTTATAGTTATTTGATTTTAATCCAGCATGAGTTTATTACTGATTAGCGATAAACCTGTTTTTTTGTTTATGATATATAGTAACACAAAGTATACTTAAATCTGACATATATAGAACAACTTGACTATTTCTTTTTTATTATTTAAACCCACCTTGATGTATCCCCAAGATACAGATAACAAATAGTCAGGCATTTTTGGAAGATTTTGCACAGCAAAACAAGAAATCTCCTATGCAGAATTTGCAGATCAGAAGGAGGAATCTCTCAATAGCAAGAACAGCCTGGAGCCTTTGTCAGTGAAAGTCTAAAATTTCAGCAATCCTGGGTACTCGTGACTACACATCATCAAGCATTGCTTTCCAGCCTAGCAGGAGGACTGTGGTGTTGGAAATTGCACATGTGCGTGCACACACACACACACACATAAACATACAAATGATACGGGTGGCTGCATGAAGGGACCAGAAGATCTAATCCAAATGTTTACAGCAAGTTATCTTAAAGTACTTTGATGTTTATCAGGCTGAAGGGGTATCCCCTTCCAGAAAAAAATGTGCAGTTGAACAGAGAGAGAGAGAGATTTTTTTTAAAAAGGAATAGCAATTGCTTTTCACAGATATTGCTGTCTTTAGCAACAGACTGTGCCAAGTGTCAGACAGAACCATGTCCTTTGAAGCAAGCTGCGTTATCACTAAACGGGAGAGAATCCAAGATGAAATGATGATCGTCAATGATCGTAACTCTCTTTCCCTTTCCACCTTCAGCCATCAAGAAATTCCTAAGAGCACAATTTGGGGGCACAAACGCTACTTTTCCTAATTAGCAGCCAGAGCTGTTTTATAACGTGATGATTTCCTCTCCCCTCCCCCCAGGCCTGTCCCTTTCCCTTGTTAAGGGCTCCTATTCATCAGGTCAAGAGAACGCCATGGCAACGGGACCACGTGACCCGCCGGTCTCTCTTACTGGAAGGCTTCCCTCCCGATCCCCCGTATTGCAACGATGACGGCTCTGCTGAAGGAACCCCGCAAGCGGTGGAAACCAATTAGGAGCTAATTTCACAGTCTTAAAGAGCCAAAAAAAAAAAAAGTATCCCGGCTTAGTTTCTTATGTTTTTTTTTAAAAAAAAGGGGGGGGGTGAGGGTTAATTAGCAGATCCGAACGGGATCTATAAAAGCTGCTTTCAGGAAATCATCTCCCCCCTCCTTACTGGAAAGCCAGTTAAAACCTTAATAATAGCAATAGCGCTAAGAATGATATACCACTTAACAGTGCTTTACAGCCTTCTCTGAGTGGTTTTACAGAATCAGCATTTTGCCCCCAACAATCTGCCTCTTCATTTTATCCACTTCTGAAGGATGGAAGGCTGAGTCAACCTTGAGCCTGGTGAGATTCAAACTGCCAAATTGCAAGCAGTCTAAGTAACTTGCAGAAATGCATTCTAAACACTGGACTACCAGGGCTCTTTTAAAATTTTAATAATAATAATAAACATAATACATAGGAGCTCAGAACAGTTTAATGGGTCTGCATATATGTTCCCTTCTTCAGTTGCTACCTTAATTGCTCTTAGGCTAGCCTTTATTAACCATAGCCATAGATGAGCCCCGTTTCTTGCATCATTGCCTTGCCCAACAGCATGCCTTTCCCCTTTCAGAAATCAATGGAATGAATACCTCAGGGAGATCAAGTGATAGGACAGCCAACAGCATGATAGCAACAGTATGCCTGCTGCCTGTGTGGAATAAGCCTGGCCTCCTCCCTGATTATTTTTACATTATCCATCTCTGCGCCATAAAACTCCTGCCTTGAATAACAACAAAGTTTATCATAAAACGAAGGGCCGAAATGATTCTAACCATTTTGTAAATGTGGTACTCAATTTCCTGCAGCTTTTATAGTCTGGAATGAGAATGACTCTTTGAAGCAAGGACTTTGGGCAACCCCAATATCTTTATTGCCTCATTTTAAGGCTCTCTTATCCAGCCCATGAAAGAGAGAAGGTAGATTATTTAAAAAAAAACACAGCAAAAATTCTTCCTCTTTTTAAAATTAGTGTTTATCATCAAAATTTAAAAAAATAAAGATCCAGGTGTTTCAGCCACTGTTAAGGTAGATGTTAATGTGCAAAACAACCAGCTCCTTGTCTTCAAAACCAATAAGAAACTAGTACATGCAGAAATAAATGTATTGTTGTCAAAAGTTATACAGTACGAATAGCATGCAAATTACTGTATACCCAAATTGTCAATTATAAAGTGAGATTATACTATTCCAATTTGCTAAATGTTGGTTTCTAAAATTTGAAAAAGCTACTTAGGATGCTTGAGTAGGGTTTTTTAAATCTCATTGTGGTAAGACCACCACCCCCATTGTAAAGTATGATCACTCATTATTTAGAAGTTTGCTTCTTCCTAACCGCTAGAAACAATATTCCAATGAATCATAACACATAAAAGTTGGTGATGCTTCATCTTAGTCACAGAACTAAATAGGGGCATGTCAAATTTAATATTGCTTTTAGTTTTTATGGAGTTTCTATAAACAACTAGTCAAAAACCAGGAAATATTTTGATCTCAGAAATATCCATCAGAGACTGCTGATACAAGTGATCGTAGCCATCTGATCAGAACAAAGTCTTAAGCACCTCCATCTAATGCTTATCTCATTTCACTTTGGCATATAAAGATATTATATGGTAGACTAGTTACCTACTCTTTAATAGTTGGAAAATCAAGCCAATAAATATTTCAATACCAAGATTGTCTTGCTAATAAAAATTGTTGATATATTGCTAATGATGTAAAATTTTGGGAGTTAGATGGCCTCAATATTCAGTGAATGAATAAAAAATTCTAGAACAAATTATGATTTGTCAAAACAAACAAACCCACACACAAGGTGTCAGGATGTGATTTAGAAGAACATCCATGTTTAGTACCTTAGGTTATTATTCCTATTAACTCTGCTATGACCCATGTTTTCTGACAAAACCTCTCTCTGAAGCAGCGAACATGGTACCATGGCTACCTTATGCTAATAGTGTACTATGTTAATAATGTTTCTGTTATTTTTATTTTTGTCTTAAAGATTGACTATGGAATGCTTTGAATTTTTAAGTACACCTGTAACCAAAATTTGAAATGCTAAAAGGCCAGGCACAGTCATTGTATTTATGTAACAGCTACATATAAAACTGTGAGGCTTTGAAATATAAACTGCAATATGCTTATAAGATATTACCTCTGGCAAGTTAAATGCTAAATGGACAGCTGCTTACAATGATAGATAAACTGAATAGGAACCTTTGGAACTGCCTGTTTGAATTTCTGCTTCAAAGAAGATACTATAGACGCAGTCACATGAACAGAGGTAACTTCTGATCTGCGTCACTCTCCTCTAGCTCATGGAGGTTTACTGCTGAAAATGTCATAAGATATAGAGAGGAAAAGGTGTAAATGATGCTCATCGTGAAGGTCAGAAATCCTAGCCGTGTGGGCACATGGGAGAATAACTTTCAGCTGATGAATCTCATTTAAGACTCACATCAAAGGACCGGTAGGCAAACTTTGAAGTATCCCAGAAATTTGGGGCAAAAATGCAGCCTAATATATTTAGTTTCATACTTGTAATCACAAAATAAAATGATGAGATATAAATGTTTAAAAAATCTGAAAAGGAGACTGAAATTATTAAGAAGAAGTTGTCTCTTTGGTTAAAACTTGATAAGGGAGGATTGCTTTTATTCATTTTTTTGAGAGCCTGGCTACCTACCTAGATCAGGGCTGTCAAACTTGCAGGCCAGATGCGGCACACACTGGCCACGCCCACACCCAGCTTAGCAAAGGGGATAAAGTCACATGTCATGTGATGATGCCATGATGACACGAGTTTGACGCCCCTGACCTAAATAATAAAAACTGACAAAGTTTTCTATGAAAACAGCACGAATGTTCCAAGTACCACTTAATACTCATTGATTTGCTGTACTCATAATAGTGAGAGATAAGACGCTGAATTTCTCAGAGTAAATATGCAAGTTATATCCACATCTAGCTTTAAAGTCAAGAACTGCAACCTGAAAAGACTATTAAACAATGTAGGCAGGAGTAGTAAGGTCTGGAATTAAACTATAGTGCATATATACAGTTGGGAACGGCACCTTCAGGCTGACAGAAAACATTTAACTGTTGTAGTGATTTTGGTATGCAGTAAAGATTCTTATCTTGACACTGAGCCTGACAATAACAGGTTCCTTCAGGATGTAGCAATTCAAAAGAAATCCAAATGAAAGCAGCTTAGGAATCTAATTGAATTCAGACAAGTGCTTACTTAACTGGTTCCACTGTTTTCAACATGAAGGTAATTTTTTCAGCTTGTGCCACAATATTTGAAGGAACAACTTACACTATATTCCTGCTCACATTTTATGAGAATCTTTGGGGTAGGGTGGGGAACCTGCTCTAGCTGTTCTCTCAGATGGTAGCTGCCTCCTTTTGAAAGGGCTTTTTGTTCAGTGATAAATGTTTGACACTGGTTTAGTTATATTTTTGTAAAGCAAGCA